GTGTGTGTGTACGTGTGTGTATGTGAGCGTATGTGAGTGTGGAAGGGGAGGCACATGTGTGCATGTGTGTGGATGGACTTTTCTTTTTGTGAGCACACACACACACACACATAAATGCGAACTCACTCGCACGCAGCTGTGCCCAAAAAACGAAAAGTAGCAAAAAAGTAGTTGCATACTTTTAGGCATGCTATTTCATTCGCTTGTCTCACACAAATGAACACCTCTCCGCAACAACTACAACAGCCAGAATGCGAACGGGCAGCCCGCATGCACAGATACACACACACTCCCACACACACACACACACTTGCATTTGGTTTTGGCTTTTCAGCAGCGTCATCAACATCATCAGTCGCCGTCGCCTAGGCAGGAGCATGTAGATGTATTGTGTGTGTGTGTGTGAGCTTCTCAACTCATCAGCTGGCTACAAATGTTGTTAGTAGACCACAAATTGTGGGCAGTGTGGGTGTGGCATATAAAGCCCTCTATATACATTTATATGGCTGGCCATCATATCATTCGTCCAATGGACAACAAATTTTCGTTGTCGTTATCGTCGTCCGTCGTCGTCGTCAGCGCCGTTGTTGCCAAAATAACAACAACTACATAGCTACAACAACATTTTTCCAGCAACAATTTCTAGTATGTTTTTGTTGCTTCTATTTTTTATTTCCTACAGCTTCTAGTGGTGCGTGCCGTTGTGGCAATTTCCTTTCATTTGTTCGATCGCACTCACCAAGGCTTCAATACGTGTACGCATATGTGTGGTGTGTAAAAGTGTGTGTTCGCCTAAGAGAAAAGCCTACTCCCCAACATACATTTTGCGATGCTATTCCTAAGCGTTTGCTCTTTCAATTATGTATGTTCTGTTACTTGGAAATCTTCGCCATTGCCTAAGCCAGGACAATTATGCAGCATGCACTTCTAGTACTTCATAGGAAAGACTTTTTAATAATTACTTTAAAAAAGCTATTAAAAACATATTTTCAACTAGCGTAAGCTGCCATATTGGTAGTAGAATACTGGTTTAATAAATTGTATACGTATAAATATATATTATGAAAAAAAAAAAATTAAGAACCTTAACGCACTCTGTATGTAAAAATTACTCCAAACAACTTCAAAAACCATTTAGTATATTCTTTCAAAATAGAAATTAAATATAAATTTAATAGAAAAACCAATAGGAGACTTATAATAAGGAATTCTGAATCACAAGGCATATAAATAGTTTAACTATTGAATGTAGAGACACAAAATTACAGACTATCATAAAAACGTGTTGAAAATGCTATAAAAATATAGAAATGTTGCGAAAACAAATGGAGAGTACCTGATTTGTTTATTCACATTCAATGACTTTTTTTGAAGCTTAAGAAGCTACATTGAAAGAAAACTACGAATGATGTTATTTGTCGTGGCGTCAATTCGATTTTCTTCTGCGTATTGCTGTTTTAAAACTAGTTAAGGTTTACTTATATCGCAAAAAAATTTCACTTTTTAATTATTTCACTAAAAAAAAGTCGACAAATCGTAATAAAATATGTTCATGGCGACCAAATTCTCGATTCTCTTTTTATCATATTAACGATAATTTTAAGATACTTTCTTCAGTAAGCCCTTTCTAGAAATAAAACCTTCTTTTCAAAAATATTTTTTTGACACTAGAATAGAAATATGTTAGGAATGAGAATCAGAAAACATTGACAAGAAAATTATATAATATTGAATTATTATCTAGTTCTGGATAATCTCTAAATTTCCAGATATATACGTTCTTATTTATTTAATTAAAAATTATAAATATAAGAGAATGAAAAGGATCTAACATATAGCTCAAAATGTATTCAAGTTGTCGACAAAACTTTTAGCAAAAATATTCAAAACATGGATTATTTATGTAAAGCAATAATTTTAAAAATGGCCTACAATTTAGCTCTTTAGCTAAGAAGTAACAAACTAAGTACATCTCTATATATATAAAACAGTTTGTCCTGACTGACTGACTGACTGACTGACTGACTGACTGATTGGCAATCAACGCACAGCCCAAACGGTAAGAGCTAGGAAGCTGAAATTTGGACACAAGATCCCTCTTATAGTGAAAGTGAGCACTAAGAAGGGGTTTCGGAAAATTCGAACGCCAAAGGGGGGAAAACGGGCTCCAACGTTTGTATGAAAAATCTACAATTTTCATCTGATTAACTTCAAACTTAGTTTGTATACTCTCACAAAGAATACAAAAAAAACTGTATACTTGGTTTGGGGGGTTTTCCGTGGAAAAATTGAAACACAATCAACACCCCACAGCCCAAACGGTAAAAGCTAGGAAACTGAAATTTGGGCTCAAGTATCCTATCATGGTGTAGATGCGCACTAAGAAGGGATTTTCGAAAATTCGAGCTCCAAAGGGGGGAAAAGTAGCTCCAAAGTTTGTTTGAAAATTCTGCATTTCTGAATCGATCAACTTTAAATTTGGTTTTTATAATCTATAAAAGAATACAAACAAAACTGCATGCTCGGTTTTTCGAAATTTGTGTTGGAGCTTGAATTATTGGGGTTTTAATATTTATTCATTTTTTCAAATGAAAAGTTTGTGTTATAAATTTTGTCCGATCGATTTCAAATTTGGGTAATATAATCTACGTAACTAAAATTACAACTTTGCATTTAACGATTTTTAAAATATGCATTTTACAAATGCAGGCAGAACAAACAATACAAAATATCAAACAGTTGGGGACAACTAAGTATACATACACACACACACACATACATACATACAAGCAGCTGTTCGTGTAGTTGCGTGCAAACGGTTGAAGTAGCCAAAGCAAAATGTGAGACACTAATGTGTGAATGTTCATTTGTACAAATGTATGTACATATATACATACATACATATGTATAAAAGTACATTCGTCTTGCACTGACAGGGCAAGAAATGTTAATTAATTAAAAATTATTAACATTATAACATAAACATTTTTATGTTATTTTTTCTTTGTTTAGTACATTTGGCATAAGGGATTTTAGGACAACGGACTACAAGGGCGTACGCAGGTTGGGCAGGGGGGACATTGCTCCCCTTAGAAAGAATTTCGCATTATGAATTACACCAGCACCATATGTATTACATACGTACATACATATATACATACGTCTGTATGTATAGTATGTACATATGTACATCAATAAGTATGTATGTACGTACATACATTCTTATATACATATATAGGTTTGTATGTATGCAGTGGGCCATCGAACACTGTTGTTTAATTGTAATAAATAGTGTTCTATGTTTTCAAATCAAAATTTTTAAAACAACAACAACAAGTTATTGGCTCGCAAAACTTCTTTCGTTTTGATAATTTACGGCTGTTAATTGCATACGAAAAATGCCAAAAGTTTACAGTTACCGTACACACACAAATACATTTGTATGTATGTATGTACATATGTGTACAGTGAACAATCGAATACAGTATAATAATCAATAACTCTCAAACGATGTTTTTCGATGTATTTGTATTCGACATGTATTACGATATATCAACACAAGTATCGATATTTTCGATATATCGCATTTAATTTTATTATTGGGGTTTTAATATTTATTCACTTTTTCAAATGAATAGTTTGTGTTATAAATTTTGTCCGATCGATTTCAAATTTGGGTAATGTAATCAACATTATATCAACAAATTGGCATTCAACGATTAAAATATAGCAATATGTTTTTTACTTGCCATATATCAAATATCAAATAGTTGGGGACATCGCATACACACACTCACACATGCATACAACAAGCAACAGTTCGTGTCTATGTGTGCCCATGCATACATACATATGTACATGCATATGCATGTATGCCTGTATATGTATGTAGCATGTACATACAAAACAACAACAACAACTTTAAGTTGTTGGCTCGCACATCTTCTTTCGTTTTGACCATTTAATGTTAATTGCAAAGGCAAAACGCCAAAAGTTTACAGTTACCGTCGCTAAGCAACGACTGCGTAAGCGATAGTAAAGCAGAAACCGAATAACGGAGCTACGCATATTCTGCTTCGCATTGCGGGCAGATGTATGTATGTATGATTTGTTCTTATTGATCTCAATAAATAATTAGATTTTATTATTTAAATATTCTGCTTATTGCATTCAAACTTCGATATTTTGATGGTATCGGTGGCTTCAACTATCGAAAGTTTTACTCTAGCAAATTGAGATGAGAATTGTCAGTGCTTTTTGATCGTGGCTCCTCGCTGCACGGCATTGACACGAGTGCCGTGTTTCATATTCCGAGTTTGTGCGTGACCGTATTGACTCAATATGACACGAAAAGGCTCAAATGTGAATTTAAAATTAGGATATACCCTTATAATTATTCCCCCTTTTTTGCAAATCGTCTATCTTAAAACGTTGCGTTATCTCTATATATAAAACAGTTTGTCCTGACTAATTGGTGATCAACGCACAGCCCAAACGGTAAAAGATGAAATTTGGACTCAAGTATCTTTTCATAGTATCCATCATAGTGTAGGAGCACACTAAGAAAGGCTTTTGGAAAATTCTAGCTCCAACGGGGGGAAAACGAGCTTTAAAAAATATTAGTTATAGTGGTCATGTTCGTTGAACGAAATAGTTTGGCAAGAACAAAAATGTAACGGACTACTGAACAATTTTTTGTCAAGAACAGAAAATGTTCATTTAAATACCTTAAATGCCTTCCTACTGGTAACTTATAAGGTGAAAACATATGGGTAGGTTATGCACACACAAAACAAATACAATTGGAAACATTATATTGAGCCGGGTTAAGACGGGCAATACCTGCTAGTTTAAAATATAAAAGTGTTGTAATTTTTTTTATTGCTGGCAGCATGAGTTATCATTTCCCCCCATAAATAGCGACCAACAATATACGAGTATCCCATCTTTTAAGAACTTTACACATTTGTGATTTAAATAATCCTGGTTAGCATTTGCAGTTCCGGCGCTTACCCATCAAATGGCCAGCCACCAACGGTGTGTCACACGCATATCAGTGACCAGAAAGATGCCCAAAAGTGCCACAGACTGGGGGAATGGGACCCGACGTGGCTGCTCAACGCACGACAGCAAATAACCGTTAAAAACAATCGGCTCAATTAACTGCAATTAACACGCCAAAGCACACACACATATGCACGCACACATATATGCATAGATATACATACACCTGTGTCCAGACATAATTGAAATTTTATAAGCAGCGAGCAAAGCGGAGGGGCGGGGTCAACGCCATCTGCTGCGCAAAGGCTTCAGCTTCAGTGTCATTAATATGGCAACGTAAATCTGAGCGAATCGACAATTGAGTCGAATAATAACACAAAAAATCTACAACAACAACAACAACTGGCGCTGGAGATGCCGCCAAGTGCGCAGCCAACTGCACGTGTTTGTCGATCAACAGAGATTGTGGGAATATAAAACAAAGTAGTTTCCTTCAATTCCCGAATCATAAATGCTCTTTGTAACTAATTTAAGAATCACAATTATTGTTTTTTGAATGAAAAGAATAAGTTAAGTTAAATAAAATGAATGTTTTACAGATTTTTCACATTTTCCATTAGATATTACAATATTTAAAATTGAATTGGCAAGCAATCTAATGTAGATTTTTCAAAGACTAGTGAGCAAAAAGGAAAGCAAAGCGGCATAGACGTTGCTCCAATAATAAGTGATACGAAAAACATAACTGCCTGCCCTAATTGATATGAATAGATATTTGATTCCAGCCTTATTGCAGTTAGGAGGCACTTAGAACTTAACACTCAGCATATTTGAATGCAAAAACGGATGAATATCTGAAAAAGGCAGAGTTAATTTCCCATTTTTCAGCTCACACTTTTAGCTCCAATTCCATTTTGCAAATACAACTTAAGCATTCATTTAAATTAAGGATCTTAACATTCGTTGACAGTCCCATCCCATATGTGTTCAAAAGAGGCAAGAGTATCAACCAGCTAGGGAGCTTCATTTTATGCGAACAGCCCACCAGCCGGCTGAAATCTGAAACCTCAGCGTTGACAAATCAACTGGAAAATTGTAAACAAAAGCCGTCGACGCTGTCGTCGTCGTCAGCGCCGTTTGGCCTTTCAAAGGGTTAAGCGGCGTGCAATTTGTGCTCGCCTGCGGCCTGGATGATGGCCACGTTAACCGGCCAGGCCCTTGCGGCCCTAAGTTAACGCACACGCACACCCACACAAGTGGCAGCTTGAACAGGCAGCAGCAACCGCTTCAATGTGTTTTGTCATTTCGTTTTTTTTTTTTTTTTTTTTTTAAATATGTTGATGACTCACCTGTGGACACATTTTGCATTGATACTTGCGACCGGTGCCGCCTGCGGCATGTCCCGCGGTTGTCACACCCGCTGCCGGTCCGCCCGGCCCATGTGATGCTCCAATCTTACTGGCATTTATTGGCTGTGGCACAACAAGCAGCGCCGCTGAGCTGTGATGGTGCCCCACATGGTTGCCGTGATGCGTTGGGCCGGTGGCGCCAAGACCGCCACTGCCGCCGCCACCACCACCAGCGGCTCCACTGCCACCACCCAATCCGGTCAGCCCACCTGTAGAAGAACACATAGAAATTAAGTTACACTTGGAGAAAGGAATCGAAATCAAGTTATAAGCCATTGTGCAGCTACACACAGATGAAAAAAAATTGAAAATTTACTTAAATAAAATAAAAGTAATTGTTCAAAACTTATTTAAGTGTATGCCAATAAAAATAAAATAGACTGATGTAAAATTGAGCTGAGTTTATAAAAATTTCAAAACTTCAATCTAACAAAAACTTTTATACAAGATCGATTGTTTACGATTTTAAATAAATAGTTACTAAAGGCATTTTATTTGATGACATTTAGATTTGAATGTTTCAAAATGAATGAATGAATGAATTTGAATGTTTGACATTTCAAATATGAATTGATTAAACTTATTAAAATTACATAGAAACATACAGAAACATTTTTCCTGAATAAGATTATAAATCAATATTATCATATTTATTTCAGTTTTTCTTCATCTGTTTTCGTGATGAAAGCTACTTCGATAAATTTAAAGTTAAATTGTAGTTTAATTAATTATTTGGCAGGCAATATGATCAACAATGGATAGTTATTCATACAAAAATGTCCAACTCCTTGGTTTCTATTACATGTGGTATTATTTTTATTAAAAGTAAATTTAATAAAATGATTTCAAATTTGTGTCAACATTTTATTTTTAAATATTTGCTTTGCCATTACAATTATATATTTTTGGTTACTTATCAAACTTGAAACGCATAGTAGGAAGAAGTACAAATATTGAATTGATTTCCTTAAAAAAACCCTGAAAGAAACCTTCAAACTCCTGTATAAACTTTAAGACCCCTCACTAAGATTTAAATACTTGTATGTCAGTCATTATTTTCAAAACATTATACGATTTCTAGAACAAACCACTTGTCACTTTAAAGTCAAAATCAAGAAGAGATAGGAAGTAGCCAAATATTGAATTGATTTTCTTAGAAAAATACTGAAAGAAACCCCTATTTGTTGTCATGTACCTTAAGACCCCTGATTAATTAGTATAGCTATTAGATTGATTTAAGTTGTGGAACTATATTATATTTTCTTTACATTCACAGTACCTGCTATTATCAGGATATATATTGCCCTTCATGTCATATTCTAAATAAGTAATGCCATATTATTTCTAAGCATTTTGTTTTTCAAAGCTCGATTTTAGGACCATTTTTCTTTAAAGTGTGCGAGTATATAGAATGGACAGCTGACATGTGTCGGCCTGCCTTAAAAGGGGGACGCGTTAGTTCGCTCGCTTACCTTGTCCGGTTACCGCATGGTGCTCCAGACGATTGTCATCCAGAAAGTGACCTGCAATGGCAATTGAGTTGTCGTCGGTTGTAGTGAATTGTGTCGATAGTGGCGCCGTCTAACGCTTGTCCAACGTTCGTCGTTTAACTGTCAGTCGCAGTTTCTGTCGCTGTCGCTGTCGCTGTCTCTCTGTACCTCTGTACCTGTGCCTGCCTTTGTCTCTGTCGCCCGTTCACTCACCTGCACAAGTGGCCAGCTGAGTCGCCCGCTTCTAATTAAACTGAGACATTAGTTGGCCGGTCGACTGCCTTGATTGCCATTGGGAAATCGTTCGGCTGGCGGGACTACTGCTAGTTCTGGTGCGGAAATTCTGGGGCGCAGTTTATGTGAAAATAGTTTCACATTTGCCACTTTTTGCCTTTGTGGCCTGCGGCTCGTGTTCTAATTGAGCTTTTTTTTTATAGTTCGCGGCCTTTGCGTGCAAAAATTGTGTGAATTTGCTAATCATGTCAATGATGGGGGCTTAGCAAAAAGAGCAACTACGAGCAGCTCGTTAATGTGACAGGATTAGCAGGCGGGCCTCTAGCATGCACAGCAGGTGAAGACATCAATCAAACTATGGGTATTTAATAAAAAATGTGCGGCGCTCCAATGCACGACTATGGTTAAGAGAGGAAACTAATGGTGCACTACATGTGTACAAAAATGGGACTTCAAAATGTTACTCGATAGTTGCTATAGAGTCACAACCTAAGTTCAATTAAAGATTTTTCTATATGTTGTAAATTAAGTTCATGACTGATTTGACAATATAAAGAAAAACAGTGAATTTAGATTAAACTAAAGACATGTATATCAGAAAAAAGGTAAAAATTTTAATCTGTAGCAAATAAAATAGACTTGCAAAGAGAAGCTAATGTCCATGGACGTTTGTGAAAAACTTGAAATTGCTTAATATTTTCATGTTCATACTAAAGGAGTTTAAATTCTTTGATTTTTTAATACTTTATTAATATTCTTTACACTACAACTTTCTACAGGTTATAGCAAAACAAATAAATGATTTTTTAAAAACAGCACATTAAAACTGAGCTTAGATTAAAATTAAAATGAATTTGGATTATATGTATAAATAGTATATAAAATTAATAATAATATACTCTTTATTTATCATTTAAGTGATTGGTATGAATAGTTTAAGCAAAATGTTGTAGAAAAATATCAACTTAAAGTTTTGATTTGGATAAAATATTGTGATAGCTAAAATGAGATGAGATATTTTTTTAAATGAATAAAAATGTTCAATTTCTAAGAAAACGGATAATATCAGTTTATGAATAGCACAGGAGGGTGTTTGTTATTATTATTTTAAGATCAACATAAAAAGGGTAACAAATTAACATATTTTTTGCCTATGAGAATTATGATAAGGGGTGCAGACATTTTTTTATCGTCTTAGGCGGCTATGTGCTAGTTCTTAGAATTGGGAGTATATTATTGTATATTTCAATAAACAGCTCCATTTATACAATCTAAAAAGCTTATCAGCAGAGCCAGCAACACAAACATAATTTGATATAGTTCTACCCCGACTTTATGGTTTTTTAATCACAAAGGAAACGAATTGCAAAATGAGTTCAAAGGAGTTATCGGGCTTAGCTCGCACGCCACATAGTAGAGTTGCAATTGAAACAAACCCGTCCGCTGCCACCTTTCTCAACTATCTCTGCTGTGGTTCGCATCGGTGGTTTCTCAACCATTTTCGCTGCTGATTGTGGCGCCTGCGAGCATGTCAAACATTTCTAATAAAACATTAGCAGACAGAATTGTTGGCACAAATGTTGGCCGACCAAATTGGATGGCAAACATGCGTCGGTCTGTCGGTAGTCGATAGTCGTCTTGTAGTTATCATTGCGGTTGTAGCTAACAACAAACTGCAAACAGACAAACATACTGATGTACATATTTAGTGTTAATTACTCTGTGGTTGGCCCAGTGGTGAGTGGCGGTGGCGCCAACTGAAGCAACCGAGATTTGAACCGAGCTAATGAACCAGCCAGCGTTCCGATGCGGCATTTCAAATAGTTCAACGATGTGTTATTTTCAAGTTGAACGTTGAATTGTTGCGGCGACCACATGGATAGTTGCAGCCACATAACCACAGCTGAGTGGTGGAGTGGTGGCTGCATGGCATGGCTGAGTCATGGCCCAGAATGGAGGAGGACTTTACGCGCGGCTTATTGTTAATTTGTACAAGGAAAAGGCAGCGGACGAAGCCATGGGCAATCGCATAGATACATCTACATCACAGCGGCCAACAACAATGTGGTCGATGCTTATCGCCACAGCAGTCGCAGCTACATGCAACGGCAACAACAATGTTATTGGCCAATTGCCTAGCGTTGACATTATCGGGCCGAGATCGTTGCCGCCAACGTCAACGCCAAACAAGCAGCAGCAGCAGGAACAGAAGCAGTTACTGCAGGGGGGTCCCGGTCCTGGTCCTGGTCCTGGTCATGGTTTCGTTGCCGTTGCCGTTGCTGATGCTGTAGCGTGTTGCTGTCAATGTTGCAACAACAACAGCAACAACAACTGGCTGCTGAACTAGTAGCTGCGAGTAAGTGGCTCAGTCCGGCCTAGCTAAAAGGTTGTTTGCATTTTAGGAATTTATGTAAACATGTTGTAAGCATCTTGTCGCCAATTGTTGTTGTTGCTGTTATTGCTGTTATTGTTATTGCCTGCTTACGGCTGTTGTTGTTATTGTTGCTGCTGTCGCTGGCATGCTGTTAAAGGTCAATATTTCGGCGGCTTTTCTAAGCGACAGTTCTCGTCGTGGGAGTAGAAGCAAATACATTGTACTCCCGAAACATACAGTCGAACCTGATGGCAAAGGAACAAATGTTCTGAATACGGGAGATAGCTGTGTTACTTATAGATGTTGGTAGAAGATGGTTATCAATGCATCAATCAAGGAATACTTTGACTTTTCCAGCAATGTTTTTAGTCGCTTCCCCGCAACGAGAAATGTTGAATTATTTTTTTTTTTTAATTGAAAGTCAACAAATAATTTTAGTTGAAAATATGCCGGAGCATGTTAATTCTATTCGACCTTTTGAATTTACTTCCTCACATAATAATTTGCCCAATATTAGTTCTTGGACAATAGCTGGTATGCCTAGAGATTGCAGTTTTGAGGAAATTTATAAACTTCATTAGTTGAAATATACCAAAGGCTAAGACACTACAACTTCAGTTATCCATTTGCACTCTAAATTAATCATAAATCTTGAAAACTACCACTACTTTCAAATATTGACTTTTAACATAAATAAAGCAAAACAGTTTCTTTTATGATTTTCTTGTAGTCTAAAATCTTTCTTTTTGATTCCAAATGGAAATTAAATTTCAACTCTTTTCCTAAAATTTATTGAAAAACTCTTCCTCTCCCTTACTATAAGAAGATTATTTTCAAAAGTTAAGCGCTAAGAATTAACTGAGTTCCAAATATATAATTAAACGTTTAGTTTCTTGTAACATTATTTTATTGATAAAAATCATTTAGAATTAAAGAACATTTCATTATTTATGAGCGATGGAGCAAACTCATCTTTGAGATGCAAAAAAGCATCAAAATAAGGAACCATTTATAAAATGTTGCAACTATAGTGAATGGATTTTTTATTTAATTTTTCCCCGCTTTTTTTTACGTATTAGAAACTGTCCATTCACTTATAAGCTGTGAAAACACACTTTATATATATTTAAGTTGATATGGGTTTATAGCCTGTACTCTTTATTATTAACTAATTATAGATACACACAAATTTATGATACCAATTTTTGTGAATAAATGAAATGAAAATTATAGTGAATACTCGTAAAGTGTAAAGTTAAATGCAATCGCACTTAAGGCTCTTAAGGAGTGGCTAACACGACAGGCTCGACTGTAGGCCATTCATTGTTCTTAGCTCCCTTTCGACTTGGCCCGCACGCGTTTGGTCTGCCTACATAAGGCCATGGGCTTGTAAGCATGTTGTTGCTGTTATTGTTATTGTTGCTTGAGATTCTTATCTCAGCGCTCTCGCGCGCGCGATTTAAATCTTGTCGAGATCGGTTTGTGCAAATTCGTGATATCGTTTTAGAGGTTTTTGTTGCACCGCTTGCTGTTGTTGTTGTTGTTGTTGTGTCTCAGTGAGTAATTAATTAACAAGCGATGTGTAGGCTTGTCATTCAACTCTTTCATGCGGGGCGTAAGGGCAATGTGTTCTTTATATATTTTTTAGGTCGTGTTGGGTGTGGGTGTTCCGGAGGCTGGTTAGTCGGTCGGTCGGTGGGTCAATCAGTATTTTTAGTGGCTTACTTGCTTGGCTTACCTTTTTGTAAATTGTTGTGGTGATGATCATTCATTTTGGCCTGCCAGAAAGAAAACAAAACAGGTATGTATAGTATGTGTCATTAACAGTTTAACATACATATATTTTTAATTATAAATGAATGAGTTTTGGAAGCATATTTGGAGTTTAGTTTTAAAGCTGCATATTTTATAGGCTTCTGATATTCGTTTCCTGTTCAGTTCTATTCTGCTCATGCATTTTTCCATAGATGTTGTAAAATGTTGAACACAAAGTTTTCTTAAAGAGCTGCTAATAAAAATGTTTAACAAAAACACAAAGAAATATATATTGTTAGTCTGAAAATCATTATGAAATTAGATGCGTTCTTAAAGAGCTGCTACTTCTTATAGCTAATAAGAAAGTTTAACAGAAACACAAACAAATATATATTTGGCAGTCTGAATGGAAAAGTAATGAGGATTTAAAAAAGGGTAGATGTAGAAGATACAAACAAATTTTGTTAATTAGGAAAAATAACAGAAACATTGTAAGCATTTCTAATGCACAGTCAAAAGGCAAGTTAAGTATCACCCACTGCCTTTCAATTCCAACAATTGCTTTTCACATATTATTTCCACACGACATATTTGCAAATTTCAGTGATTCCTGCCAATTAAATTACTTTTGAAGTTCAAATCTGTTATATTCTTGCTTCAGTAGTCAATT